GCTGCTCTCTGGCACCGCCGGGTACCTGGTTCTCCGGACACCCTCCGGAGATTTAATAGGAGGTTTTTCTTGCCCTGGAAACCTCCGTTTTCGGCCAAAAACGCTTGGGCTTTCTCCGCGGAAAAAGCCCTCGCCTGCGATAGGATCCCGCGCTCCACCGGAAGCCTGAATAAGCAGACTTGAGAACATTTAAACATTTGATTGATTGATTGATTGATTGATTGATTGATTCGGATACCACCCTTCACCCAAAGATCACAGGGCAGTTCACAACATAAAACTCACCAGAAGCTTAAGTGTAACCACAGGAACCAGGTCAGTTCTCCCTGGAAACAGCATAGAAGACCCTCAGCCCTCTGGTTGCCTCTGTTGGCAGGGGCCTCTGAAGATCTGGACAAACCAGAAGTAGTCCTTTGAGCAGCGCATACTTGTCTGTGGAATTCCACAAGAGGCCGTAACGGCTTTTTATTTTCGGTGGCTTTTTAAAAGGATAGCTAAATTCATGAAGGATAGGCCTATCATTGGCCACTATATGAGTTCCAGCTCTTTTTCTCCCCATGCTTCAGCCAACTCACAACTTTGTTTGTTTCTTCCTTCCAGATCCCAGAGGCTGCAGTTTGATGTCTCCTCACCCAATGGCATCCTGCTCTTCCGGGAGACGAGTAAAATGATAACTACCTATGGTGGGTCTCTTTCGAGGAACGGGCGTCACTTGATGGGCTGCACTAGGTTGCAGTGGGTGGCCAAAGGATGCCCCACTCCGTGACTGGCCTTAAACGGGTGGGGGGAAGAGGCAGCCTGCCACATTCTCCAGTCACAGACCTCTTCTAAAGTCCTGGAGCAGGAGGGAGAATAGGCCTTGCCAAAAGACAAACAGCCAGGCCATGGCTCTTCCCCCAGAACTTCCTTGCCGCCTGGCAGTTTTCCACGGTCGCTGTTGACAGTCTCACTTTTTCTTCTCTAATTACATTCTGTGCTAGGTTATCCACATGAATTTTTGGATTATTTTAGAGTAGAACCAAAGCTCATAGCGAGCAGCGACACAGGGCAAACTATGCTGTTATAACGTTTAAAAACAGGAGTAAATTAAAAAGCACCTTTCTGTATCAATATAAAAATTGGTATTGGCCTCACCCCTTGTGAAGGCGACATGTTGAGAGTGAAGTAATGGTCTCCTGCACATTCAGTGTGGCTTTTTGACTTCTCTGTTGACCTCCTGAGAATAATATACTCTGGGCTGAGGTTAAAGGGGAAATGTACTGAGCAGAGTTGAGATAACTAGCTTTCAAAAAAATGCTTTTGCAGGAAATCGCATCCTAACCTTGGGGGAGGTTCCGAAGGATCAAGTGTATGCCTTGAAGCTCAAAGGGATTTCCATCTGCTTCTCTATGTTAAAAGCTGCCCTGAGCGGCAGCTACGTCAATTTCGGTGTCTTCCGTCTGTATGGGGACGACGCACTTGATAACGCCTTGCAAACCTTCATCAAACTCCTGCTCTCCATCCCCCACAGCGACCTTCTGGTGAGCTTGTCCGCCTTGCATCAGGCCCCCAAACCTTCCCCCACTTCGGGGGCACCTTGGGCAGCATTCCACGGACTCCTCCCATAAGCGCAAGCATTATCACCAGCACAACAATACTTCTCCCCGCACAATCCTCACACCTGCTTGAGTGTTGGAGGAGTCCCTGCAACAGATTTGCAGGCTTGCAGGGGAAGAAGGTCTGTCGCACTAGTGATAATCCTTGCACTGATGGGATCCTGGCTCAGCACTGCTTCGCATACAGCCCCTTGTTTTACTGTGCTGCCTGTGCACAAGTGTCACAGTTGGTTTGCAGTTACTCTGCGCCACAGATGGGCAACCTGCTATCAGTGTTTTCCTTCTCGGAGCTTAAGTTAAGATTCCACCTTTTTCATGCCTTTATGTATTTCCCCTCCATGTAGTTTTTGACAACCTGTGCTACAAGGTCTGCACTGAATCCTGCATGTTTCTGCTAACAGGTGATTTGGGCAGTAAGGCTAATGCCCCTTGCCAGACAAAACCATGGGGTTAACATGGCGTCGTGGGATCCAAATGGGAAGTTGGTCGGTAGATGCTGAAGAACGAGGAAGTGTGCTGTGGAGAATAAAGCCACAAATTCCTCCTCTTACTTACCACCTCTCTTTGCAAACACACACCTTGAAATTCTGGTGTTGAGGGTTCACAGTACATGGGCTAGTGCCTTGCACAAGCTCAACAATCAAAAAGCTATATTTCCCCTGTTATGCTTTGAAACATACTGCTTCTGACAGTAGGGTTGCAGTGGGGTTGTATAAGCACTGTGCTGTTGCTCCCTGTAGCAGTTTTGGGACGCGCCAGGATATGATTCTTCACATCTCTCATACCTGCATTCTCCCTTCCTTCCTTTGTTTGCAGGACTACCCTAAACTCAGCCAGTCCTATTATTCATTACTGGAAGTACTCACCCAGGACCACATGAATTTTATAGCTAGCCTGGAGCCGCACGTAATCATGTATATTCTTTCTTCCATTTCGGAAGGTCTCACAGCACTAGGTGAGTGTATCCATGTTCTCTGTGTGTCTCCTTGGATGTGTCAGGGATGGGCAGGAGCCTGAGGAGTCGGGGGGTGTATGGGCAGAGGAAGCAGTGGGGAGGAAGATCCAAGGGGCCAGTGACCTGTGGGGTGGGGTGCCTCCCTGTGAGGCAGCTGCCAGTGGTGGTGGAACAGGGGTCAGGAGGAGGAGCCTGGGCAATTGAGACGCATCACAAGCCTGCAGCCATAGGCACCTAGACAGATAATTAAAGATACAGAATGATGGCGCCAGGCGAGTCTCCTTGGGGAGAGCGGGGAGCCACTGTTGAAAAGGCCCGTTCTCATGTTGCCACCCTCTGGACTTCCTGTGGAGGAGGCACACGAAGAAGGGCCGCAGTTGACGATCACAGTCAGGGTCAGTTCATATGGGGAGAGATGGCCCTTGAGGTACTGGGAGTCACCCCACTCTTCCCCTTCTTTCCTGTCTTTGTAGACACCATGGTTTGCACTGGCTGCTGCTCCTGCCTGGACCACATTGTCACCTATCTCTTCAAGCAGCTCTCCCGCAGCACCAAAAAGAGGGCTGCCCCCCTGACGCAGGAGAGCGACCGGTTCCTGCACATCATGCAGCAGCACCCAGAGATGATCCAGCAGGTAAGGGGGGGTGCAGGTACTGGTCGCAGCCAGTGGCCTCCTTGGCTAATCCTATGACACTCATGGAAGTGAGAGCTGGACCATAATGAAGGCTGATTGCCGAAGAATTGATGCTTTTGAATTATGGTGCTGGAGAAGACTCTTGAGAGTCCCACGGACTGCAAAAAGATCAAACCTCTCCATTCTGAAGGAAATCAGCCCTGAGTGCTCCCTGGAAGGACAGATCGTGAAGCTGAGGCTCCAATACTTTGGCCACCTCATGAGAAGAGAAGACTCCCTGGAAAAGACCCTGATGTTGGGAAAGATGGAGGGCACAAGGAGAAGGGGACGACAGAGGACGAGATGGTGGGACAGTGTTCTCGAAGTGACCAACATGAGTTTGATCAAACTGCGGGAGGCAGTGGAAGACAGGAGTGCCTAGCATGCTCTGGCCCATGGGGTCACGAAGAGTCGGACACGACTAAACAACAACAAATCCCATTCTTTAGGCAAAATGACTCCCAGAGGGGCTTGCATACAATCCAAACAAGACAGTCCTTACCTACAGGCTTACAATCTTATTTTTTAAAAAAAGTTCAGGAGCAGGAGGTGCCTGGTGGAGCTGGGCATCTAGCAAAGCAGATGGAACAAGCCCTGTTTCCTGTGTCTCCCACTGAGGCCATCTGGTGGAGAATGGCTGCCCCAACAGTTGAGGGGAGAGGAGACCTGATGGGGCTGGCAGCCTGTCACATCAGAGCTGCGAGAGGCCAGTCAGGAAGCACTTGCAACAAGATGCTAATTTGCGGCCTCCCTACTTCTTCCTTTCAGTGCAAGCTTGAGAATTCTTGTGTGGCTAGTCTTGTGTGCACCTGCCAAGGCTCAGTTAAGGCTACTAGACGGGGCAAGAGAGAGCCTGTGCCCCAGCCCAGCAAGGGTAGTGACTTAGCTGATGCCCATCATTACCTGTCATGCTCATCCAGGTCACACTGAACAGACTGGATGAGTCTTCTAGTGTGCTTAAAGGTAAAGGTAAAGGTACCCCTGCCCGTACGGGCCAGTCGTGACCAACTCTGGGGTTGTGTGCTCATCTCGCTTAAGAGGCCGGGAGCCAGCGCTGTCCGGAGACACTTCCGGGTCACATGGCCAGCGTGACGAAGCTGCTCTGGCGAGCCAGCACCAGCCGTTACCTTCCCGCTATAAAGCAGTACCTTCCCTCTTTAAATGGTTCCATTCAGTCATACGTCTTTTCCAAAAAAAAGTCCCTGCGATCTCTGAAGAGTGTAACAGCTAGCTTGATTTTGCTCATTCCTTCTAGATGCTATCAACAGTGTTGAATATCATCATCTTTGAGGACTGCAGGAATCAGTGGTCCATGTCTCGGCCTCTGCTTGGTTTGATACTGCTCAATGAAAAGGTAAGGCACTTTTTAGAGAGTTGTTCAACGGCTGGGACTCCTTAAAAGGAGTGCTCAGGAGATGCTGACTCCTGTCAGCACAGCCCCTTGGGTAACTTAACCAGCATCCCCTCTTTTCTCCCCCTTCCAGTATTTCTCAGACCTACGGAACAGTATAGTGAACAGCCAGCCTCCAGAGAAGCAGCAAGCTATGCACCTCTGCTTTGAAAATCTCATGGAAGGCATAGAGCGTAATTTGCTCACCAAGAATCGCGATAGGTCAGTATCTCTCCTCTGCTGCAGAGAGCAGACTGCATAACAGCTGGGGATGGAAATCTCCCCTGAGGCTGCCAGCAACTCAAGGCCCTCCAGGAGCCATCGCGGGCATCAGGGGAGACTCTTTGCCTCCAGAGCTTCTCTCTGTAACGTTGTTCCACTGGAAAACATATGAGGTCATGAGCTCCTTAAGAGCTGCTTGGAATTTGCTGTGCAACACTAGTGGCTCAGACACGGGGCGGATATTAGGAATGGGGAATGTTCACAGTAACTCTTACTTGAGGGCAGAAGCAAGTACCCTGTACTTGCAAGTATTTAAAACAGTCTTCCCCTCTGCCCCCACATGCCCTTCTCATTAAGTCCTGGCATTTCCTAATTAGCAAGGCCATGAGCAGAAGAATATGCCATATTTTTCGCCCTATAGGACGCACTTTTTCCCCTCCAAAAATGAAGGGGAAATGTGTGTGCGTCCTATGGGGCGAATGCAGGCTTTCGCTGAAGCCTGGAGAGCGAGAGGGGTCGGTGTGCACCGACCCCTCTCGCTCCCCAGGCTTCAGGAAGCTATCCGCAAGGTGCGGGAGCCCGGCACTGGGCTCCCGCGGCTTGCGGAGAGTTGCCTGCATGCTGAAGCCTGGGTGTGCCAAGCTCAGTGCGCCCAGGCTTCACGCAGCTCTCCGCAAAGCACGGGAGCCCGGCGCTGGGCTCCCGCGGCTTGAGGAGAGTTGCCTGTTCTGGGGGCTGGGGTCGGGGGAAGCTTGGGCTTCCCCTGCCCCAGCCCTGCGCCTGGGGGGGAAATAATATTTTTTCCTTTATTTCCCCCCCAAAAAACTAGGTGCGCCTTATGGGACGGTGCGCGTCCTATAGGGCGAAAAATACGGTAATACTTTGCAAAGCCTGTTCTGCAGGCTAAAAGTGAGCATGCTTAACTGTCCTAAATAGATTATTTTAGGGAGGTGGGAGTGGAAAGTAGGAAATGTCAACAGCTTTCGGATGTCAAAGGAAATTGGTGGGGGAACGGTTCTTGACCAAAAGTAAGGGAACGGACTTGGCTTCGGCCATTGCACCCCAACCATTAGGAATGCCTTCCCAACTTGAAGAGCAGTTCAGGGATAGGACAGCCTGCCTAGGGTGGCTGTGGAAACCCATTCCAAGAATATTTTGCAGGTACCAATTGGCCCAGCTTAAGGGAATGTGTGCACACAGCTGCTATCAACCTAACTTTCCAGCTGATTATTACAGAATTATTGTTCAAAACAGAGATTTTCAGAGAATGAGGATGTTAAAGCAAATTTAAGGGAAAGATCCGAGAGGGGTAGAACTTAATGGGAAGAGAGTCAGGGTCTAAAGAACCTCGCAAGAAACCAGGACACAAATGATGACCCCTGCAAGTCTTTACCAAACGCCGACTTGCCGTGCCTCAAGAAAGGGCTGTACACTTTATTTTCATTTGCTTTTCTTAAAGTGCCTTAAATGAGGTTACCAATTCACATCCCTGCAGCAAAATCGAGAGCTGTCCTTATACTTCACTGAGCAGCCTTCCAAGTGATTCTGAGAGTTCAGTTGTCAGTACAGATGGTGACCATCTCGTGCAGGTGTCGGCAGAGCACGTTTAAGTGCACCTCACCCCGTTCTGCCTTCTTCCAAGGCCCACACGTTGGCAATCGCATGTCCATTGGACATGCCTAAAACGATTGCTGCCTGTATTTAATATGCTGACTTAACATCTTGGGATGGTGGATTTTGCCCGCTTTCTAACCCAGCTTTGGCTTGCCTCCTTGGCAGGTTTACACAGAACCTGTCTGCATTCCGGCGGGAGGTAAATGACTCTATGAAGAACTCCGCCTATGGGGTAAACAGCAACGACATGATGAGCTGACATCTCGCGAGGAACCTCTCTCTGGCCCGGGCCGGGGAGGTTAACTTTTCCGATGGAAAGACAAAAGGGCATTTCTGATCCCTGCTGGTCCCTGGGGCTAGGCTGCAGGAGGAAGGGGTGTTATAAAAAAAAAGTTCACCAGGGCAGAGGGGGCTCGTTTCCTTGGGGGCGGAGCAAGGGGGAGACCAGCGTATTTCCCTGGGTGAATGTTGGAGAGGAACCCCAGCGTCCTGCCGCAGCCTGCCTTGTATAAACATGTACATTTTTTCATAACATTTTGAACAAGGTTTATATTGACTCAAGTTTAAAAAAAAAAAGTGTGACTGAAATTTTTACAGAGTTTAGTGCACCAATGCTGAAGTGAGGGTTGTATGTGAGAGAGGAAGCTGTGTCTCCTGGCCGCCTGCCGTGTTCCTGGGCAAGGGGGTGTGAAAGTGCAGAGTTATATTTAGTAACCAGTGTAGAGAGAGAGAGGCACAAGAAGTGTAAAATTCCAAATGTATATTTTTCTTATACATCCCTTTTAACTTGCACCATCCTACCCCAATCTTCCTTCTCCTCTCCCCACCCCTTCTCGTTAGGAACTCAAAGCCATGCCATGCTCCATGCTGTTCCGTGAGTGTCCATCCCTTCTGCCCCATCAAACTGACACAGCTCTCTTCCTGCCTGGTCCCAGCTGGCCAGCCCAAGGAAGCCTGAGCTGCTCTGTCCATGCCTCGCCTCCCCAGAACATTGCACCAGGCTTTTCCCCTCCGTGTGTGAACCTCATTGTTTCTCAGCTGCTGGAAAATGCATAGAGAATCTGCTTCAGGGCCTGAGCTAGTTTCTCTCTTCCCAAAAAGCAGCCTCGGTGAACTGCCTTGCCTTGTAACAGAGCCTGGCCGTGGTCTTCCTGAGGCCATCTCTGCCGCTTGTCTACACCTGTCTACAGTAGGGACTGTGGGGAGTGGGCACAGGCTTGCTACCAAGGCAGGCCCAGCATGACATGCAACTCCCCTTGAGAAAAGTCCATTCTCCCCCCCCCCCCAAAAAAAAATGCTGCACCAACATCAATGTTTTTCAATATTTAAATTTACTTAAGAGAAAATAATGGGGGGAAATGACCTGTTTGCCTTGTACTTCCCCATTCTTCTTGCTGCTAGTTCTGTGCCCACCCAAGCCCAGCCCGAACCTGCCCTGGTTTCTCTTCCCAGATAGCGCCACCTCGGTTTTTATTCTTTTTTGTTCTTTCTCCTCTGGCGACTGTGTGTTGGGTCCTTTTTGCGTGAGCAGATTGCTGGATGACTTGTAAGGGTGTTTGCTGCATACAGTGTAAGCATTGTGGCTGCAAATAAACTTCAGTGGTTTCTACTGAGCTGTGTGGAACCAGGCCAGAGTGCTACTCTTGTGTGACGTTAAATGACGGTAGTGTGCGATGACCACGAGCCAACAGGCGGGTGTCTGGGAACTAGAGCGCAAGTTCTTGGCAGCAGTAGGCAACCCTCTTAGCAGCTGCTTGCTTCCTCATCCCTGCTGGAAAAATATAGTGGAGGGGCGAGAGGGGGGACGGGAGGAGAGGTGACGGTACCATAACCATCTCCAAAAGTAGCCAGGTTAAGAGGATCTCACGCGCAGCATTTGCCAACACAGTAAGGTCGCGTCTTGCATGCATTCAATCTGTGCAATTTCAATGATATGCAGTTGAAGGCCGCTGATTGAAATCCTGTGACTTCAAGTGCAAGCGAGGCAGAGCTCTTAAAAGTTATTTTTGCGCTGTGAAAACCCAGTGCAAAAAAAGCTTTTGAGCTCTCTGGATTTCTTGGGAAGCAAAGCTCGCTAATGTGTGCATCAGTTCTGGAAGCCCTGGGGTGCTTGTGGCTTCAAAGGGCTTGAGTGCACACATTTCTGCATATACACAGAACCCTTGGAACCAAACCCCCACATAAGATGCAATTGTACAGGCTTGTTGCAGGGGACGACAACATTGGACTGCTTCTCCAAACTCCTTTTTTATGCTGCATATTTCGATACTCTGATAAGTTAGAGGACTTGCTAGGGGAATATGTAGTAAACCTGATTTGTAGCTGTCCCCTGAACCCATATTTTATCTCCACAGCCAACCCTTCACATTCAGGGCTAGAGCAGATACACAATACAAAAGCTGCTCTTCAAGTTTATTTACATGCTGCTTTTAAGCCTCAACTAACAATACCCACACTGAGGAAGCCTTTTTCTTTTATTATGGCTCAGGGCGCTCTTTTATTTTTAGACCAGGGTGTGGCAAGGTTTTCCTTGCCAGGACTGGTTCACTCCCGCAGAGATCGTTCCATGGGCCAGATCGCGTCTGCGCAGACACGATTTCCGTTGCTGTGGAAGTGAGTCCCTGCTCCACCAGTTTAGCACAGCAGGCAGCTCGTGGATCATTTAAACGACCTCCGTGGGCCCGCTTGTGGCCTATGGGCCACAGGTTGCCAACCCCTGTTCTAGACAGAGGCATAGAACAGCACACCAGCATCCTACAAGATTTTTCTGAGATCACTGATACCAATTAGCTTTTTGGGAAACATGACAGTATCCTACATAGTGTGGGTGAATATCCCTCTCAGGATACAGGGCAGCTTAGAGTGTGTGACTTGTAGCTTGGTAACTATATTTAACATGGTCGTTTGTGTTGATTACCTGTGATCATCCCACAGCTTTTAAGTTTGTTGTATTCTGTGAATCAGTGAGAGAGGGTACAAAAACCAGGGACCAATTAGGACTCACCTGCTGCTGTTTTTCATTTTAGCTTTTAATGTTGAGTTCGTTTCCATAGTATTTGGACTCTTGACATTATGAGAGCCTGTTGCTTTGGCTGAGCCCACAAATGCGTCACTGTTAATCCATTACTTAGATCATTTTGGCACCTTAAACAATATTCCAGCAGCAGCTGTGGCTCTTACACCTCTGCCTCGAAACAGGAACAGTCTGCAGCTTGGCTAGAGTTGATGCTGGTGCAAAGCCATGATCCCTGTCCATTCTGAACGTGTTGCCCTTTCTGAGAGCAGAACGTCTCACCCGGAGCTAACCTCTTCTGTGGCTGAGCTGGCTTTCTTGGCACTGTTGTAGACCTCACTGTTGTAGCCTTCTCGGTTACGGGCTATTTCAATGGCGAAGAATTGGATCCTGGTTGCTGCAAAGAGAACTTTCTTTAGGATGGGCATGACACTTGGGGATCTTGCTCCAGTTTCCAACTAATACACCACACTTCCCCGCAAAATAGATGCAGAACAAAGGACTGGGAGGGAGGGTGCATGTGCAGTGGGAGGGGCCGTGTTTTCCTTCATCAAGGATGCTCTTGGGCTGACCAGCAAAGCCATTCTAGGCATCAGCCTCATGCAGGGGGCTGGACCAAATGGCTCATGGGATCCCTTCCAACTCCACAGCTATATGACTCTATGACCTGGCCAGAGGAAGCACAACTGAAAGCAGAAAAAAGTTACCTTACCAAATACTGTGTTCTCTTCTGTGTAACCTTTACTGCAATCCAGACGTAGAAGTGTGCCATAATTAAAGTCCTCAACTACTCCGTCAAACTGCAAGCAGAATGGACGCCATTTCTGTGGAGCAAGAGCATTCGGTTACTTCCTGCCCCGCAAGAGTCTCAAGAGCAACCAGCCTCAAGCCTCACACCCAACACAAACCTCTTTAGCAGGTTCGGATTTAAGATCCTCCGGGTCGAGCACATCAATCTTAAGACGGTTAAAGTCCTTCCTGAATTCAGTGTAGATCTGGTCATCAGCTTTGGTAAGTTTCAGGAATTTGGGATCAACTGAAGAAATGAGCTACGCATGGGGAAAGTAGGCAAGGTTAAGTGGGAAGAACAGAAAACAGGATTGCTACCACCACTCTTTCATCCAGGCTGTTAAGTGACTGAAGCAAGCCTTCTGCACACCAGTTTTGTGATGTAGGAGCTCACACTCAAAGCACCTACAAAACATGCAAGGAAAAGACTTGGTGACAAGACCTCAGACTCCAAGGGGTTTGACAATTACCGTATTTTTCGCTCTATAACACGCACCAGACCATAACACGCACGTAGTTTTTAGAGGAGGAAAACAAGGGAAAAAAATATTCTAAACGAAATAGTGGATATATGATTTTTGTGGTTCATGCTGTGGCCACAGACATGTGATCTGACAGTGAGTTTGGAGTAGCCCAATGCAAAAATCCTGAGGATCCATGTGGATCCATGCTTTGTAACCACAGAGGAGGGAAAGAAGGGGAACCATGGATCCTCTGCTCACGACTGCAGCAGATCCCACCCGCCACCCGCAGGCATTCACTCCATAACACGCACAGACATTTCCCTTTACTTTCTAGGAGGAAAAAAGTGAGTGTTATGGTGCAAAAAATACGGTATGTGGCCAATCCTGCCACCGGGGGGCTAGGAAAGGGTTGTCCTGTATTGCTCCCAAGGTTGAGGGTGGCTGGCAGCTTTATGCCCAAGGTGTCTAGAGCACGAAGGCTAAACCATAAAAAAATATATATACTCCCTTTCCTGCAGAAACGGGAGCTCTTGGCCACAATGCGGTGGATGCCACACCCACATGCTCCACATCTTTCTGTGGCCAAAGGATGCTTATATAACAGCCATGAAATTCTGAGCTCCTTTGCTGAGCATCAATTAAGCCCTCGGGGAAGAGGAGAGATATTTTGCAATTGGATTCTATCTAACCCAGTGGGAGGGAAACTGGTGGTCGGAATGAGTGGCTGGGCTCCCAAGGCCAGCCAAAAACTAGCCCTCAATTTATACAATGAAGCAGTCACTGCTGAGGATATTACCCAATGCTAGCTGAAAAGCCAGCAGAAACACCTGCTCCTGAACTACCTGGAGAGCACCGCTGTCGTACAAACATCAATTACCTGGATGTGGGGATGCCCTCAAGTGTGTACACTGAATTAAGGGAGCCAAGCAAAGTGTGCTTTGCCGCAGGACTGGGACCTGGGAGCCCAAGGTTCAAATCCCTGCTAGCCATGAAACTCACTGGGAAAGCTTGGGGGTGGGCCATCGCTGCCTCTCGACCTAACCTAAAGGTAAAGGGACCCCTGACCATTAGGTCCAGTCGTGGCCGACTGGGGTTTCGGCGCTCATCTCGCTTGATTGGCTGAGGGAGCCAGCATACAGCTTCTGGGTCATGTGGCCAGCATGACTAAGCCGCTTCTGGCGAACCAGAGCAGTGCATGGAAACACTGTTTACCTTCCCGCCACTTGCACTTTGGCGTGCTTTCGAACTAAGTTGGCAGGAGCAGGGACCGAGCAACGGGAGCTCACCCCGTCACGGGGATTCGAACCACCGACCTTCTGATCGGAAAGTCCTAGGCCCAGTGGTTTAACCCACAGCGCCACCTGCGTCCCAACCTAAACTATGTGGGGCTTAAACAGAGAGGGGAGGGAAGAACCATGAGTACCACTTTGAGTTTCTTGGAGAAAAAAAGGGTGGTTATAAATGCAATAAATAAGTGTGCTTGAGCACACAGGCACTCTGTAGACAGAAGCACAGCTCCCCGCCCCCAAATGCCTAAAACCTGCTATAGGCAAGCAAACGAGACATTTTTGCCACTCTCCTGCCCCTTCCATTCCTCCACCTGGGAGCCTCCATGTCATCCTCCAGGGCTTGGAAGATGCACCTCTTTGCCTTGTCTTTTGACACTGGAGGCTTATGTTTCTTTGAACTCAGCTTGTTTTTATACTTGGAAGTTGCTTTTATACAGTGGTACCTCAGGTTAAGTACTTAATTCGTTCCGGAGGTCCATTCTTAACCTGAAACTGTTCTTAACCTGAAGCACCACTTTAGCTAATGGGGCCTCCTGCTGCCGGAGCATGATTTCTGTTCTCATCCTGAAGCAAAGTTCTGAACCCAAGGTAATATTTCTGGGTTAGCGGAGATCTGTAACCTGAAGCGTCTGTAACCCGAGGTTCCACTGTATTGTGTTTGAATCCACCCTGGGACCTTAGGGCAAAGGGTTGTAAAATACCGTGGTACCTTGGGTTACATACGCTTCAGGTTACAGACTCTTTGTTGTTGTTGTTTAGTTGTGTCCGACTCTTCGTGACCCCCTGGACCAGAGCACGCCAGGCACTCCTGTCTTCCACTGCCTCCCGCAGTTTGGTCAAGCTCATGCTGGTAGCTTCGAGAATACTGTCCAACCATCTCGTCCCCTTCTCCTTGCGCCCTCCATCATACAGACTCCGCTAACCCAGAAATAGTACCTCGGGTTAAGAACTTTGCTTCAGGATGAGAACAGAAATTGTGCTCCGGCGGCGCGGCAGCAGCAGGAGGCCCCGTTAGCTAAAGTGGTGCTTCAGGTTAAGAACAGTTTCAGGTTAAGAACGGACCACCGGAATGAATTAAGTACTTAACCCGAGGTACCACTGTAAGGCTAATTAATACCGAGCAGGGGCGACCGGATTGAGGGGCGATGCGGTGTAGGGTTGTTGTCACCTCCAAAGGCAGGGCCGGCTCCCCTCCTCCCGTGGCCTAGCAAGGCAGAGGGTCCCCCCCAGCAGGGAGCCCCCCCCCTCAATTGCCCACCCCTCCCTCCCCCCCCCACGCCCATAGGACTCACGTTGAAGTAGACCTCGGCGTGCTGGTGGGCCTTCATGGCCCAGATCATCTCCACGGTGGGCTGCAAAGAGAGAGAAAGAGAGAGAGGAGGAGGTCCCAGGCTGCTCCCTGTGTCCCCGCGAGGGTCCGGCCCGCCCCCTGCTCCCCACCCGGCCCCTGGCTCACGTCGTTCCCGTAGGCCTCGGCCGGCAGCGAGAGGGCGGCGGCCGCGGCGGCGGCTTCATGGGCGCCCTGCAAGGTGGGAGAGAGAGAAAGAGAGTCAGTGAGGAAGGGGGGGGGGCGACGTCGCCGCCATGGCAACCCGGCCGCCCCTTCCCCTCTTCCGCACGCTCACCAGCGCGGCCAGGCCGCCTCCTGCGGGCGCCGCCATCTTGGTCGCGGGGCGGGGCTGTGCGCCGGCGCCGGCGGAAGGGGCGGGGCCCTGGAGGCGGGGCGGGGCTCGGCCCCTGGCGGCTGAGCGGGGCAGGGAACGGAGAGCGTCCCGGGCGAGGAGAGGGGCGAGCGGGGTCTGCGCGCAGCGGCACCGCCGCCCTCCGCCTTCGGGATGCTTGGTCCCTTGGAATCCATCGCCTGCCACCCCTCCGTCTCTCGTTTCCTTTATTATTATTATTACTATTATTATTTTTTAAAAAAATAATAATTTTATTATTAGATTTTCCACAATGATAACACAAACCACAAAGCAAAATGATACACGAAAACAGAAAAAGAAAAAAGAAAGGGAACAATAAACAGATAAACAATAACAACAAACTTTGTTGTTTAGTCGTGTCTGCCTCTTCGTGACCCCATGGACCAGAGCACGCCAGGCACCTCTGTCCTCCACTACCTCCCGCAGTTTGGTCAAACTCATGCTGGTAACCTCGAAAACACTATCCAACCATCTCGTCCTCTGTCGTCCCCTTCTCCTTGTGCCCTCCATCTTTCCCAGCATCAGTGTCTTTTCCAGGGAGTCTTCTCTTCTCATGAGGTGGCCAAAGTACTTGGAGCCTCAGCTTCAGGATCTGTCCTTCCAGTGAGCACTCAGGGCTGATTTCCTTTAGAATGGATGCGTTTGATCTTCTTGCAGTCCATGGGACTCTCAAGAGTCTCCTCCAGCACCATAATTCCAAAGCATCAATTCTTCGGCGATCAGCCTTCTTTATGGTCCAGCTCTCACTTCCATACATCACTACTGGGAAAATCATGGCTTTAACTATACGGACCTTTGTTGGCAAGGTGACGTCTCTACTTCTCAAGATGCTGTCTAGGCCTGTCATTGCCCTTCTCCCAAGAATCAGGCGTCTTTTAATTTCAATTCTTCACAAATCCAACCTTTTAAACATCTTGGCTGACTTCCTCAAATCCCTCCCTTCTGAGTTTCCTTGTAATTGAAAGTAATAGCTTTCCAATATCATTATTAAACTAAAACAATTTCCAATTATAGTCCATCTTATTCACTTTTCTTAACATTCTAAATCCCATTTATTTAATTATGACTTAGTTTAATCCTAGGCCTATTTGTTTCTTTCAAGTAATTTCTAACTTTTTATATCATATACATAAGGACCAGGCAGGATTTCTGCCTTTATTTTATTATTATTAACATATAAAACACATATACATTTACACAATACATGTACACAACAGACTACCTAATTTTCATAACATAAAACATACCTACATTATATAATACCTACCTATACTGTACATATCAACGTACCTACACACCTACCCCACACGGACACCCACCAAGTGACTTGACTTGCAGCCGTTTTTGTTACGCAACTTTATTTTTCCAACTAGCTTGAACACATTTCATTATTTCTTTAATCTCTCCTTCTATCTTAACTTTACTCTCCTTTCAATCTAATCATTTTCTGGATTCACTCAGTATCTGTCAGAAATTCTACTTTTTCCACATGATTTTTTTCCAAAAAAATTTATTACCGTAATTTTCACAAATTTATAAACAAACAAGACAAACAACAAACAAACAAACACAAATCATAATCTTTTTAGAAATTATACTCATTAACATTGTTAAGTGACTTCCCCTTGGTTGAATTTCCATGCATATCCATTTAACGGTTTTCCAAATCACAGTTCTTATAAAATTTACCTTTAGCTTTAACATCTTTCAATCTTTACCTTTTGCAATTACACAAATTGATTCATCACTTAACATATAAAATCCTAAGCCTATTATCTGCAAGTTGTTTCCAACTAATTTAACTTAACATATTTAATTAAATAATCATTACATTTTTTTCCATTCTTCCTGGTTTTCCACATAATTTTTTATGTATTCCTTAAAGATAGCCCACTCCTTATTCACTTTTTGTAACATATCTCCTCTTATCCGTCTCTCGTTTCGAATGGCATTTCAATGGCTGCTTTTTTCCGGTTTTATTCAACATCTGCGCTCTGTTCTCTGGGAAGGGTTCCTACATCTCAGGGGGTGGACTAGATGGGCCTTGGGATTCCTCCTAGCTTGCAATTCTATGATTATTTGCTCTGTGCAACAGGCAGCGCAACTCACGGGCCATCAGATCTTTCTCTGAACATATCTTGCAAGAAGCGTGCTCCTTATATTGTATTTTTCCTGTATTACAACCGGTATTCTAAAGTATTCAAACAATAAGAAATAAAATTAAAATCAACAATTAAAAAGCACACCGCATCTTGCACAGTGGTGCTAAGACCCTGAGCAGTTTTCAAGCGGTCCGTGGGGGTAGTTTGGGAACCACTGATTTATGGCAAGTGCAGGGTGTGAGCTTTGTGGCTGCAGAGCTCTTCTGCTGGGACAGAACTAGGGTGGCCTCCTGGCCTTGCGAGTCACTTGAGAGAGACCCACCCTTGTTGGCTGGGCCTGAAGGGAATTGTGCCCCAGTAACACTTGGAGGGACAAACCTAGATAGCATCTTAAAAAGCAGAGACATCACCTTGCTGACAAAGGTCCGTCCAGTTCAAGCTATGGTTTTCCCAGTAGTGATGTATGGAAGTGAGAGCTGGACCATAAAGAAGGCTGATTGCCCCAAAAATTGACGCTTTTGAATTATGGAGCTGGAGGAGACTCTTGAGAGTCCCATGGACTGCAAGGAGATGAAACCTCTCCATTCTGAAGGAAATCAGCCCTGAATGCTCACTGGAAGGACAGGTCCCAAAGCTGAGGCTCCAATATCTTGGCCACCTCATGAGAAGAGAAGACTCCCTGGAAAAGACCTTGATGTTGGGAAAAATGGAGGGCACAAGGAGAAGGGGACGGCAGAGGGCGAGATGTTTGGACAGTGTTCTTGAAGCTACCAGCATGGGTTTGACCAAAGTGTGGGAGGCAGTGGAAGACAGGAGTGCCTGGCGTGCTCTGGTCCATGGGGGTCACGAAGAGTCAGACATGACTAAACGACTAAACAACAACAACAAACCACTGTACAACATTAGAACATTAAAATTCATTTTAACACTGTGACACCAGATGGCGCTGTGGAGTTTCGTTTTTGCTAACCTGATTTCTCAATACAAAGTTTAAAACACGTTTAACCGAAACATTTCTTTGATGTGTCTAGATCCTGTATCTCCCTGCAGTTGCTATCTAACTTGACAGCGAGAGGGGAAAACTTGCTTCTCTCTTTACTACCTCTGCCCATGCCTTTATCGTATCTTCTGTCATGAGTTCCTTGGAGAAAACGGTGGCAGTATGCAAATACTGTAGTAGTATTTGTGATGATGAAGATGCACCTGAAATCAAAGTAATCGGCTGCCCTACCATCTGTAGCCCCCAGAGGGCACCAGAGCACTGCAGTACTGCCCGCTGCCTGCTGATGTCGGCTGCTGCTGCTGCTGCTGTGTTGTGCCCGTTTACGCAGCAGGCTCTTTGCAAGGAGGGGATGCGTGGAGGGGGGGGGGCATCTTGGCCAGGGATGAAAGCGGCCCGCCGCTTCTGCCAGAACCTCCCGTCGCCTTATAACGGTACGCTAATGAGCCCCGTGAGGCAACGTGGGGGTCAGACCACCCCAAAACATCGAGGCGCTTGAGGCTGAAACTCCGAGCTGCACGGAGACAATCAGGCTAATTCAAAGGACGCGAAATTCCCCGGAGAGGCGCTGGCGGCCCCCCTGCGCTGCCCCCCGACTCTTCCGCGGGGGGCTTGCGCCCAGTGGGGGGGTGCGATCAGCCTGCCCCCCACGCGCCAGGCCCGTCCATCTTGCCACGCAGGGCGGCTCCAGCAGCAGGCAACGTCCTCGGGGCGGGTGGCTGCGTGTGCGCCGGAGCTGCCCCGGTGGCGCGCCCTGCCGGGGATGCCAAGAAGCCCCTGGGCAAAAGGAGGGCGACGCTTCCACCGCCCCCTTTCCCTCGTCCTGGCTGGGGGGCAGGACAGTCGAGCTCCATGGCGAGTTAACCCTCCCGCTCACGGATCGTGCGCCCTCCCCGGTCTAAAGACCATCCGAAGGGGGCATGGAGAAGGACGAGACGGGGCTGGGCTTGGCGGGGGTGCAGGTGTGCCTCCAGGCAGACCCTCCTCTCCCCTCTCCGTTATGGCAGATCGCCAGCTCCAATCCTGCCCGCCGGGGTCTGCGCGCCCCGAGCTGCCATCACCCAGCTCCAAGCTGCCGGGCGCGCACGCAGGCGCCGGGGCCGGGCTCCAGGGATGGTCTCGCTGGGGAGGCGCCTTCGGTGGAGGCTAGGCGCTGTCCGGCCGGCCCCGAGGCCCCCCAGGACGTCTGCCCGGCGAGAGGAGGAGGAGGAGGGGGCTGCCGCTCGCTCGCTCGCCTCTCCCCCCGCCTTGCGCAGCGGCAGCAGCGGCTGCTCCTCCTCCCCACGCGGGTTGCTGCGGGAGGCGGCCGGGCGGTCGCGTTGGCAACGCGCAGCGCCAGGCGAGAGATGCGGGAGGCAGCAGCAGCAGCAACGGGGATGGCGCCGCCGCCGGGAAGGACCAGCGCCCCGCCCGCCGCCGGGCCCGCGTCGCGCCTCTGAAGGTAGGCGAACGGCTCCAAGGGCGGGCAGAGGCCGGCGGGCCAGGCGCGGCGCAGGTGGGGCGGCCGGCTGGGCCCAAGCTCTGCCCGGCTCCAGAGGACGCCTATTGCTGCCTTGCTGCGCCACCGCCCCGGCCAAGGGCATCCAAGCGCCTGGCACCGGGGCGAGGCGCTAGGGCGCGCGAGGAGGCATCGCCCTGGCCCTTGGCTCCCGGTACCCGGAGCTCCCGGCAGGAGCAGCTCCACGTCCAGGGGAAGCCGAGGCTGCCCGCCGGCCCTGCTGCTGCTTTGCGGGGGAGGGGGGGTTTGCATAGGACCCCCCAGAATTGGAGTCGCGGGGAATCGGTCTATGGAAATGGAATCAATCCGAGCTGGGTCGCCGGCTGCTTCCTCGTAGCGGCGCTCGGAGAAGCGCTTTCCGGGAGGGTCTGTCCAGCTTGGACTGAAGTCCCCTCCCCCGCCTTGGGCCTTTTAAATCGGGCTCTCCGATGGTCCCGTCCCGTCTCCCAGCTGCCCGCCCTCCACCTGCCCTGGTGGTCTTTGTAGGATGGAGAAGCCCCTCGGGGATGAACGAGAGATCTTTGCAGAGGCAACAGCCCGGCACCGAGCCTGGGCGCGGAAGCGATTGCTGCGTCGGATCCCTCGGCCTTGCCAGCGGGGAGGGTTCCGGCGCAGGGTCCGTAGGGGGCGCCACTGAGCCATTTGGGGAAGGGGCAGAGCGTGAGCAGGGTGTAGCAGTTGAATGGAGTAGGAGGCGGGCAGGGTGAGCTTTCTTCAAACTACCTGGGCGAGGGAGCGCAGGAGTGCGCAGACAGGGCTGGCCTCGAAGGCGGGGGCTCCAAGCCCCTCTTGTGGGGGGGATTGAAGCACCTTTGGGCGCGGGGTGGGGAAGGTGTCACAATGACTCCCAGCTCGTGGGGATGCGGTGGGGGCAGATAAGTCATGGCCTGGAGGGCGTCAACCTCCGAAACAGGTGCAGCGCTGCACCTGTTGGGCGCCCGTCAAAGACGAGGGCGGTATGTGTGGGGCTGAGGCGGGGGTCCAAACCCAGCGCGGGCTGGCAGCTCTAGAGCCTCCCCGGCTAGGCGAGGCAAGTGCAGGGCCTGATCCTCCGGCCCGGAGGCAGCCCGGCCCCTGGCGGCCCCGTCTCTCCCCGCAGGCCTCCTCCTCCAGCCGGGCGCGGCCCGCTGGTGCTTCGTCACGACGCTCCGCTCGCTGGCTGGCTGCTTCCCCGGCGGCGGCGGGCGGAGGCTCCCAGGCACACAACGCGCGCGCCCTCGGAGCGGCAGCCTTCGGCGTCGGGTGCTCGGCGCTGCCCGCGCAATCCCCGCAAGCAGCAGCCTCGCTCGCCCGGCCTGGTAAGTGGCGACTTTCTACGGAGGCAGGAGGCAGTTGGGGGTACACCTGCTGGGTTTTTGTCTGTCGTAGACCTCTCAAAAGACAGAGCGGGGGGGGGGGGCAAATAAGCCAGGCCGGCCTGGGCCCCCTTTCCTCCCCAAGCTAGCTGGGAATCGCTCCTTCCTTCCGTTGCGCCTCCTGCGTAATTGGACTAATTTTGGCGGCCGTCGAGCGGGAGGCGGCTTGGGAAGCGTCGCCCAGGCCGGGCCGAGCTGAGCTGCTCCTTTCGGGGGTGAGCTCCGTAAGGCACTCCCGGCGGACTCTGCCTTGCTGTTCCTCACAGCCTGGGAAGGGCGAGGCCAAGAGCGCCAGTCTCGGCGTCTAACCAACCAGATTAAGCAGGGCTGCCAACTATTTTCCGGCGCGGCTCCTGTGCCACATGTCGAGCTCCAACTGCGCACACGAACACAGATGCCGGGATGGTGGTCGGGACTCCGGGGGATAGGAAGCGCTGCTTGACGGCGTGAATCGGGCCCCGTCAGGCTGTTGTTAAAGGCACGGGAGTCCGGCCAAGAAAAGTTGGCAGCGGAGTTTTCGAGGGAGGGTCGTCCGCGGGGGTTCTCCAGGGTAGAAAGTTGGCTCCGGCGACCTTTTCCAAGTTCCTGTCCGAGTCTCCTCGAGAGGACTGGCCTCGCTCCCGTCCAGGCCCCTCCGCGAGGTGTTTTGGGGTTGGGCCTCCTCCCTGCTCCCTGGTAAAGGCTAAGAAGGGATCGGGAGCAGTCGAGCCAACGGCTGGCAGGCTGGCAGGTCAGCCTCTCCCGGACTGGACGTGCCCGGGGGTCCCCCGAGAGCTCCGACGGGCGTGGCAGCCTCCGGCGTCTAAAGTTTGAAAAGGAGCTTTTATTGGCGCGGGAGCCGCCGAGCGCGTAATTCGCCTTGCAAAGCCTCCCTCGACGGCTGCGGCGCTTTCGGCCGCCCCTGCCAGCGTCGCCCTCCGCGGTTTGCAAGAGGCGATCCCCGGGAAGCGATTCCGGAGCGGGACCCCCCACACACACCCCTCTGCGCGCGCGCGCACACACACACACACACACACACCGGGGCGCTCAAACCGCGTGACGGCTGCTTCACTGGACTGGTACGCGGGGCCGTTAATGCCCGAGTTGCCCCTGGTGGAAATTAAAGTCTTCCACGTATCTGCCCCACTCGTCTTTCTTCCTTTATTTTCAGGGGAGAAGCGGTGCAAAAGGCCCCCGTTTTGTCCGCCACCTGAGATCTCTACCTGCAACCCTGACAGAGCTGTTCTTGCCAGTCAGTGTGGGCAGTATGTGGCTAGGTGGGCCATTGATCAGACTGCCCAAGGCAACTTCCAGCGCGCCCCTGTGGCTCAAAGCCCCCCCCCCGCCCGCCCGCCAAGCTCAGGAGCTCCTTTGTCAGACCCACAAACAGTCCAAGGAAGATAAAGAGGGGTGCCAAGGGTGCGGGAAGGAAGCCCCGGATGTTTTGAGGCTGGGAGGGCGGGGCAGAGGAAGCAAACTCCGCTTAGCCCACCTGGGCCAGCCTGAGACTTTCCTGCTGAATCGGGGCCCCAGATCCTGGAAATGGGCTGTAGAGCATCAGTAGAGGCTTTTTCTAGGTCCTTTTTCCTGCTCCAGACTGAATATCCCACCTGCTCTTTGGTGCGGAAAATTGTCAAGGGGGACAAAGCCGAGGGGGTTGGACTAGATGAACCCATTGGGTACCTTCCAACTCCACAGTTCTGTGAATCTATGATTCTGTGCTGCTGCTGGCTGTGATTAAAAGAGAGAGAGAGTGGCACGCAAGGCCCCACTCACAGTCCGCTGAGGGGCACCCTGACGATGCTCCTGATTCCCACACTAGGGAAGCAATTTTATGACGGGGTGGGGTGTGGATACTCCCTCCTCCATCAAGGGCTCTTAGACGGAAGCCTTGCTCGAAAAACAGATTGCCGTGACACAAGATCCTCTTTAGTACCGAAGAAGGGTCCTGCCCAGTGGGACAGGAAGGCCTGGGTGTCCATAGCCCCCCCCCCACCTACTGGAGGTAGAGCATAGCCATCAAGCCTAGTGGTCACCCACCACCTTCTCCTCCACCAATCTGCCTAAATTCCCTTTAAGGTCAGCCAAGTTGGAAGCCGTCATGGCGTCATTGGTTGTGGGAGCAACTTCCTTCGTTTGTGCTGAGTGGGGAAAGTCCTGAGCCTTGAAACATTCTGCTTCCTTGGGTCCCCGTCCCCCCCATTTCTAAGTGATTCTTGTGCCGCTGCCAAGTGACTCTCTCACAGCCACAGAAGACCCCTCCTCTTCTTCCCAACTTTTTCCTTCAGCAGTATCTACTGTTGGGGGGGAGGGGAGGTACTCACCCTCATCACTGCATGGCAAGGGGGTCGCAAGTGGTGGGAGACTCACAGTCTTTATGGGGTGCCAGTGGAAGACCTCAGGGGTGCCATTTCACAGCTGCGCAGCACCAGATTTGTTTAACGGCCACCCTTATCCACATGTTTACTGACAAGGGTGGCACTGTGGGTTAAACCACAGAGCCTAGGACTTTCCAATCAGAAGGTCGGTGGTTCGAATCCCTGTGACAGGGTGAGCTCCCATTGCTCGGTCCCTGCTCCTGCCAACCTAGCAGTTTGAAAGCACGTCAAAGTGCAAGTAGATAAATAGGTACCACTCCGGTGGGAAGGTAAACGGCGTTTCCGTGTGCTGCTCTGGTTCGCCAGAAGCGGCTTAGTCATGCTGGCCCCATGACCTGGAAGCTATACGCCGGCTCCCTCGGCCAATAAAGCGAGATGAGCGCCGCAACCCCAGAGTCGGCCACGACCAGACCTAATGGTCAGGGGTTCCTTTACCTTTTTAAGGAGTCTCAAAGCGGCTAACATTCTCCTTTCCCTTCCTCCCCCACAACAAACACTCTGTGAGGTGAGTGAGGCTGAGAGACTTCAGAGAAGTGTGACTAGCCCAAGGTCATCCAGCAGCTGCATGTGGAGCAGCGGGGAATCGAACCCGGTTCACCAGATTACGAGTCCACCGCTCTTAACCACTACACCACACTGGCTCCCTTGGAAGCTCCTTTGGAAGGAAAGGATTGTTGGAGGCAGCAGGAGTGCCCGCTTGACCCCGTGACCATGGGTGCCTGAGGCAGTGGGTGTCATGCAGCGTACATGGCCCTGGCACCAAAAATTGTGGGTGCCCAGCCCCTTCATGGGAAATTTTGTGGGTGCTCGGGCATCTCTTTGCCTACTGTGAAAACTCGATACTGGCCTAGGTGGGCCATTGACCTGATCCATCAGGCTCTTCTTACGTTCTTGTGTTACATTTGGGGCTTTAGGGGGGAAGGTGACTAACATAGGATGCGGATAATTCATCCAGCCTCTCTGCAATTTCCTTTTCATCCTTTAGCACACCTTCCCCTCCCCATGCCATCAAATGGCCCAACTCCCTCCCTAGTTGTTCCGCCTGGCCTTTGGCTTGGAATCAACTTGATCCCCTCCCTCTCTTTCCTTTTTCCTTTCTCCTTCTGTGTTGGAACTCCTATTTGGGGACTTCCCTGGCTTTTTTCTGGCCCATGTAGGACCAGTCTGGATAGTTAGCCTTGGTGAAGACTTGACGTTTTTATCCCCAGAAAAGGTTTTGATTGAGTTTTTC